ATAGGTATCATTGGAAAGCTGACTCAAAATCCTTGAGTTTAGGCTCAAGAATCACCCCATTTGGGTTAGAAATGAAGGAATATGCCCTTTTGAAGTTGGATCTTCAGTGCTGAAACCCAACAAAGGAGTTGTATGCTAACAAGCTATTTCGGTGGACCGAAATAAAGTTTCGGTCTACCAAAACTCTCAGAGACTTACTGGAATCTTATTTTTTAAAGTGATTTTGGTTCGATAGACCGAATTGAACCATCGGTCGACCGAAATAGGCCATCGGTCGAACCGAAATGGCCTTGAAAACTGAAAATGGCCACTGGAATTGATGAATTACTATACAATGAAGCTACCAAAAGCTATCGGTCAACCGAAATAGAGTTTTGGTCGACCGAAACACCTCGAAATGTTGCTATATGACCCACTATGTGCTAAAGGTGTTAAGGTTCAACCCATGCTTTGAATCCCATGATGATTTGGTTTAAAATGAAAGTTTAAAACTGATTTTTGAATGAGATTGAGTATGTGAACATGTCAACAAGCTTTATATGCAATATTGAATGTAAAATAATGGCTCATGGCCTCATACATGCTAATTATGATAAATTCATATGTCAAACCACCAAAGTTGGCTAAAATGTCTTTTTGAAGCAAAAGTTAATACTAAATGAATACAAGTACTAAAATGAACATGCTTGGCCATTGGCCTCATTACATCCATGCTTGTAATATCAAAAATAAGTACTTAGGTATCATTACACATCAAAGAAGCTACAATGGCTTCTAAAATACCATACACCCATGGTATACAAAATATGGCATCAAAAGTAAAGCATGTTAAATACTTGCATATCAATATACAAAAATGTTCCAAACTGGTCATAAGCCTCTAAGGATGATGAGCATCCAAGAACATAGTCTCCTTACCTGAAAAACAACCCAAACCACTAGGGTGAGTAATCAAGTTACTTGTAGGAAGAGGCATATGCGTATACCCTAAAGTTTCAATATCATTGCAAGATCAATTTAGACGAATACAAGGGAGCATTCCACTTAACCTCTATGTTCAAGGTGCTCTAAGGGATCATCTTAAGCTAACTTAAATATCTCTTAGCAACACATATCAATATCAATGTACTTAACAACATCAATTCGCCAATAACAAAAATTACAAGTTATAATTAAGTATTGGTTGTCAACTTGGAATTTAATGCGAAATCAATTAGTAGAATACTTGGACATCACGTCTCGGACTAAACCAAGATTAAAATGGTTATTTCGGGCATCAACCCTCTGGGAAGACCACCCTAGTACGCACTATCTCAATTGGGGAGAATTCATACTTCCCGCACTAGAGCCAAATTCTAGCCATATCACTTGTAACAATGTCCCAAGATAATCCAAAATCACAATCAAGTTCAAAACTCAAACATTATAATTAAGGCATATAAACCACCTTCCATGCACAAGTATTTTGAAACCACACAAAACATGTCTTAGGGTTCCAAGTCTAAAATGGCATACCAAATGACAAGTCCTCATCATGATTTTATACTATACAATACCATCAACTTATCAATTTAAATCATGCCTCAACAATAAGCTATATATACTAGATTACAACATTATAGTATTAAGCTTCTAAAATAATCACAATTGTCATCAACAAGATCCTAGAATTATCACCACCATAAATATAGCAATTCAAGTCAATAGGAATCATATATAACATTAATAATTCTACAAGAATTCTATATCACTACACATGTGAAAATATTAGAATTTAGTATACTACTAAATTATATAATCCTTCTACACATGGTCTATACATATCATACATGCTTAAATCAATAAATCCTAAGTCAAGAAGTGAGTTTTCTACAATATGCAAATCTATCATATTAAAAGCATGAACACAATATATATTAAACACCAAGGATTATAAAACACTTAAAATATAAACATACTACCACACCTACCTCAATAGAGAATTAAATCTCTATAATCCAAGCAACCAAGCTCAAAATGGAAAACAAGTTTAGGGTTAATGAAGAGGAAAGCAAGAGGAAACTTGTGTTCCAATGTTTTAAGTCTAGGGTGAATGGAAGGAAGCCAAAAATGAAGTCAAAGCTATTAACCAAGCTTTTCTCCAATGGTGGCTAGGTTAGGGTTATTAGAAAATAAGTGAAAATGAAGAGGATAAAGTGAAAATGGTGAGTGGAAGATCTAGTATTCCTCCACTCACTATGTGTTCTTACACTACTTCTCACATACACACAATGCAAGACTTAATTGTGATCCTACACTTGTCACAAATCCAAGGCTCCTTCCTAGGCTTAATCCTAAGCCTATATTTGTCAACCATCTAAGCCAACAAGTGCTCCAATCCTAGGCCAACAAGTGGGTGAATCTCCACCCTCCAAATGTCAAAAGATTATACATCCAAGTCACTTCACTCCATTACCAACAAGTGGCACCATGAGAATGTGACACTTGTCACATTTTTCAAAAATTATAAAAAGGTCGTTTTTCAAAATATCTTCCAAAATAAATTGCAAAATGGTCCCCAAGACGAAAAATAATTACTTTATGTAATTACATAAAAATCCCAAAAATAAGGAATAATTATAATAAAGTATGTATCCATGCCCTTTATGAAAAAGTAAGCAACTAGAATGTATTTTCTACAAAAGTAAAAATACAAATGTCATAGAAATCAAATATCTTAAATGCATGCAAAACCAGAATCAAATCCGAGCACAAAAAGTGAGGTTATGTAAGGAAAAATAATAGACTGGAAAAAGACGAAATAGGGAAAAGACAAAATAGGAAAAAAACGAAAAAAAAAGATCGCCGAAAAAGGAAAAGGAGGAAAAACAAAACCGGGTCATTACAGACTCTACACCCTTCGTATGAAGGAAGGTATGTCTCTTAAGGAGCATATTGATAATTTTAATTCTATTATTATGGATTTGAAAAATACTGATATTAAAATTGATGACGAGAATGAAGCCCTTATTTTGTTGTATTCTTTACCTCCTTCCTATGAGCATTTTGTTACCACATTACTCTATGGAAAAGACACTATTAGTATGGAGGATATTAAATCCTCATTGAACTCTCAGGAGTTGAGGAAAAAGGTGTCTGGGAATATTGAAGATGAACAAGCCAAGGGTCTATTTGCAAGAGGCAAAAGTGAGATAAAGGGTTCTAGTAGTAGGGGCAAGTCTAGATCTCATAAAAATGTGGAATGTTACTACTGTCACGAGATAGGGCACATCATCAAGCACTGTCCCAAACTAAAGGCAAAGAATGGGAATGGCAAAGAGAAAGTTCAAGAAGCAGCTTCTGTGGCAACTGCTACAACGAGTGATTCGGATAGTGACAATTATGTTCTCATGACAACCTTGTGTTCAGGTATGTCATTTAATGACAGGTGGATTCTTGATTCTGGTTGTTCCATTCAGATGTGTCCCAGTAGGGATTCTTTCTCTTCCTATAAAGAGGTGAAAGGTGGTTCGATTTTGATAGCAGACAGGAAAGCCTTTAAAATTTTGGGAATTGGAACAGTCAAGATCAAAACGCACAATGGGTTGGTGAGAACATTGTCAGATGTGCGACATGTACAAGATCAAAAGATGAATCCTATTTCAGTAGGTGTGTAGACTCCAAAGGTTACAAGGTTGTAACAAAAGGTGGGACAATGATAGTCGTGATGGATTCTCTTATGGTGCTACATGGCACTAAGGTGAAAAATTTGTATCTTCTTTAAGGGAATACAGTAACAGGTGGAGCTTTTATAGGGTTTTCTACAATTAGCTGAAATCTGCGTTCAGGTCTTAGCAAAAGAAGCGTTAGAAAGAGGAGTTACGATCCTAGTTCTCAAAAGGGTTGTGAGGGAACTACACAACGTGGAAAGAGAATGAAATCTGTTTTCAGATGGCAACTGAAATTGCAGCAGTCCTTACAGGGAGGTAGACCCATGAGGACAGGTGTGATATTGACTTGCAATAATCTTGGTGGCAATCAGATAGTCCATTCGAGTGCCATTAAGATGTGTGGGAAGCAAGTAGTTGGTCACAACAGAGATGCGAGGAAAAGTCAAGGACGTCCTATTCTCCATAAGGGTAAGAAAATGACTTTTCATTACCAACCGGTGGCTTGTGGGCGGTTAGAGAAGGTTGCTGAAAGAGATGTCAAACTTGGAATTTCTGAGGTTGCTTTTGGTAAGCATTTAGAGTTTGACACAAATATTGGAGGTATGCTTGTGGCTGCGCAAGACATGCATGGGTTGAAGAATGAGAGCCCGAGGGTTAAGTTTGAGGATGACTCAAACTTAAACTAAAATTCTTAATTAATTTGTTTTGTGGAGAAGATAGTTTGTTTGGCAGAGATACAGTGGCTTATTCGGAATTTTTTTTTTTTTCCGCTAAGGTGGAGATTTGTTGAATATGTGGCTCAAACTGAGGTCATCCATTCCATCAGCATCTTGCATCAGCAACTTAGGCTTCAAGTTTGAGTACCGAGCAAGCCTAATTCGTTATCATTAAGTCTTGCTTTTTGTGTGGTCTCCAAGAAGCATTGTTTTGGTGACCATTATTGGCTATAAATAGCCATGTCTCTCATGCTTGATTATCATCTCAAATCAATTGAGTGAGTTTGTAATATTAGTTGGAGAGTGAGAGAGTTTGGGTGTAATTGGGTTTTGGGTGTGAGCCACTTTGCCTTGTATATCTTTATTTCTATAATGAAATATTGTTCTGTCTTCTCCCCGTGGACGTAGGCATAACCGAACCATGTAAATTCTTGTCTTCTTTGTGTGAGTGTCATTTATTTTTCTTGTTATTATTTTTTCTCTTATTCTCATAAACTCCTATTCGATTCTTTTTTCATAACATGAGCAAGTAGAGAAAACTTACAAAACCCCAGTAAAAAACAAGACCAATCAAACAAATTGAAAGAAAATACAGAACAGTGGTATCCATTAAACAATGTAAATAACTGTCTGTTTTATATATTACAAAATTTTGGCTATTCTATAAGGTAGTTAAGTACAAGGTAGGATCATCTATACTAGGTGCCATTTCATGCAAATGGCTGAACTACTGAAGAAGTGGCGGCCAATCCTGAGAGGAGGCCGACAACAAAGGCGCTGTTGTAAGTGGTTGGTTCACCTTGCATAGAATTGTTTCGGGAATCAATATAGGTTTCATTCAGGAATGGCCCCCCAACAAGCGCTCCAACTGCTGTATTTGGATTGGGATCTATTGAGTTAAGCCACTTGAAACCATCGCGACAACCGGTGTTGGCATCAGCAGGAATTGAAGCACCTCTGTGGTGTACATATTGAGGATAATTGCTACCATATCCAACAAGATAGCTCATCTTAAATGGATTGTTGCCCAACACATAATCAGCCTGAATATAATTCAAAGTCAGCTCAATAGTGACATTAAGAGGCAAAAAGAATGTCTATCTAGGAAAAAAAATATGAGATTGGAAGCAATTCAAAGAGTGATAATTTCTAAATGGACTCCTATATGCAATAGTTAAGATCTTCACTCTCTTTTTTGTTTAGTACCTTCAAGTACTAAGACGAGTAATGAGGCGAATTCTAGAAGAAGGCACAATCTTTTCCCAAGAGTATTTCTTAAGGATCGTTGCTAAGGCCATTGTTAACCATCTACTCTAAAAGCTTAAGCTATTAAAGAGGGTGTAACTTTGATATTTAAATCCTCTAGCATGTTTCTTTGGTCCAACATGTGTTTCAACTTTAAGTATTAGTGTGAGACATTGAGGTTTGAACTCGGACCTTGCCTACTCTAATACCATGTTAGCAACCATCTATTCTAAAAGCTTTAGCTTTTAGAGAGGGTGTAAAAAGAGATGGTTCCGAGAATAAAATAAGCTGGACAATCCCAATATCTTAGGTTGCCAGTGCTATCAGATGTGGACCTAAATGGAACAATTCCAATAGTCCATCATGTCCAGAAAACTAAGGCATTCCAAGTCAAGTTACAAATAGAAATCAATTTAGCCTGGGTAATTATGGATTGTTCGAAGATTTGGGATGAAGTGGACTGTGTGAGATAATGCAAGTAAGTTGATTTATCACTTGGAATTTACTGAAAACATGTGTCAAATTAACTGGCCAGTCCCTACCAACCTCACGAGGCAATTGTGCAGTGAATCTGAACTAACAGCATACCTGCAAAATGGCAAAGTTGCGAAGGTCCATTGGATTGTATAGCTTCCCATTGCAATATAGATTTAAAGTCTGGGACCTAAGCATGTAATCACTATAAAGAAGTGCTAGAAATGAAGAGGCCACAGTATACTGCAAGGCATTCCACTGGCTCACCCATATTAGGCCACCTGCAATAAAAATGATGGGTTTCACACTTTCGCTTGCTAAAGAATGCCTTCCAAAACGCAAAGAAAAATGTACGATCTCTTTTGAATTTGAGACAGTCAAAATCTTACACTTGAGTACTCGCTACATGTGATGTTTAGACAAGGCTATGAAGTTGACATGATCCAACAAGTAATGAACCCTTCATTAGAGATCAAGAACTACTTACTCAGAAGAATATATATATGGAGATTTTATGCCTTATTTCTTTAGCACAAAATTTTGTAAGACAAAAATGCTGGCAAAATCCCCAAAGCATAAATAGATGGTCATTATCTTGCTATCATCTTTTACATTTACCGCATACAATCACTGTTTGTTTATGTACCACAAGCCCTTGTATAACATTAGAGAACATTTCTTTGAGGAATGAGGCTTCAAACTAGTACCGAGATCGAAAAAGTTCTTAATTGCTTTAGCGACTTTTGGTGCCATGCTGAATAGAAATATAGATTTACATCACCATTTGTTTAAAATGCTCTCTATTTAAATTTAGGGCAATGTCATTTATAGGTTAGTGGTCAAGGAAGCATGATCTGTGATCGGAAAAGAACAAATTTAAACTTTGGCCACTAGTACAATTAGGGTCTTTGATCTTCTTCCAGCTCTGCTTTCTACTAAGAGTTGAATCTAAGTTTTGGTCCAGTGGACAAATTTTAATAACAACAAGAAATATCAGACTGAACTAACAAAGTAACTACAAAATTTCATTGATATCAAATAACATTGGAAAAAGGACATTACCCTCTGTTCTTTGGGGAGTGGCTGTTGGTGAATCTGGGAGGAGGGTGCACATAACAGCCTCAGCAGTTTTCCTATACATTTGGAGAGCAATATCGTCTGCGGTGGAAATCTCTTTTGCCCTAAAGAAATTCACTCTGGCAAGTAGAACCTGCTCCAAATTTGTAAAATTGCAAGTATAATTAGAATGGTTCATCCTTCTTCCAACCATAAAAGCCGAGGTAGAAAATTCATGTTTCACACAATGCTCCATTTGGTGGCAAACTTGCATCAGCTAATAGGACATTGATTCTTTTTTCTCACAGCATCAACCCAAAATATAAAATAAAATACAAGATTAAATAGAGATAAAATATTTACTACTATTGATCTAACCCCCTAAGGCAACTTCAAAATATGTATAGCAAATATGATTATTTCTGGAGACTAAAGTGGAACAGTTAAAGACTTGCATTCTAATAAAGGAGACACCATACCTGAGTTCCAGCCAATTTGTTATCCCAACTGAACCAAGACGGACTCCCCCAATTAGCAAATGCCATCCCATTTTGTGTGGTTACGTATCCGAGGTACAACTGGTCTCCAGTTGCATGATACAGCCATGATGCTGCCCACAAGAGTTCATCCCCATATCCGGTAGAGTTGTAGTATTTTTGCACTTCCGGGATGCTGATACTGTAAGAACCTCTATAAGTGTCAGCAAATGCAAACAACTGTTGAGCATGCTTGAGGAGCAATTTTGAATAAGTGGAGTTGACATTCTTGAACACTAAAGATGAAGACGCCATAGCTGCTGCTGTTTCGGCTGCAATATCTGATCCTGGATGTGTTGCGTTCACTTGTGTAAGAGGCCGTTTTTCTGTCATGACTTCAGGTCTTTCCCAGCAATTATGGTCCAATTCCGGATCACCCACCTTTCACCACATGTGCAGGCAGACAGTTGACAATTCAGAAAAGCTACATCTTCCATGTTCATAGATATTTGACAAATTAAAATGTAGGTTACAATTTGAACAGCATGTCAAGTTTCAAAAACAGGTATAAGGCCATAATTTACCTCCTAGCCAAAGTACTGCTTCCACAATATACAAACGCATACAAAGTTCTCATTTTTTTATATAGAAAATTTATGAAATTATACAATGTTCATTAAGGATTTGACACTGTGATGATGATATAACTATTTGAGGGTTAATAACAATTTTCAAATGTTTAACAATAGACAGAACAATTCTTTACGAAACTTGCCCCTAGGTTTCGGCATGAAAATGTTTTTTTTTTTTTTTCCATTTTGGCATCGGTTTTTCAAAATAAATGATGGAATGGTGATTATATTTGTTATGAAATTAAATTTTAAAAAATAAAGGTAAATGCAGGATCACTCTAGATGAGGCCATTTATGTAGTACTGCTCATTTCAACAAGTTGTCAAGCTTAAAAACTTAAATATGATCAGTGATTTGTAATAGAAAAGAACGGAAAAAGAAGAATTCATGTGATCGGCCCTACTTGAATGGGATTAAGGCAAGGATGATGATGAAAAAGTTGCCCAACCCTACTTTCAACACTACTAGAAAACAAAATATCAAACAAAATCATTGAAGGAGTGTGAATCTCGGATTGATCCCCAGTTTTTCCATTGTATGCAATCCTTACAAACCATTCTTGTAAACTCAAAATTTTGAAATTCAGAGTTCAATGAATTGAGCTACCTGAATATAAAGCATATCAGCAGAAGGATGAGCGTTAATAAGATAATCAGTGATCCACTTAAGCGAATCCTGAGCATGTTCCAGCTCCTTCACTGCCTTCATCTGGTCTCCATACTCGAGTATGGCCCATGATAGAACTGTGGCAGTGAAAGCCATTGGAAAACCAAACTTCATGAGATCCCCAGCATCATACATTCCTTTCGATAGATCCAAATTCTCCTCGCTTCCATCTTCCAAACCCGAATCACCTCTCCAAGCAATCCTCTTATTTATCAACTTACCAGCTGCAAAACAAAACAGCAACATCTCCACTACTTCACTCTCCATGTAATAAGAAATGCTATACAAATAGAATTAACCAATCCTTGCAAGCCTGTTAGGGTTTGGGGTCTATTTGTTCTTCAACCATTTGAATAAGGTTCGAGGCATGGTATCTTAACCTCTACAACATTGTTCTATTTGGAATATCTACTTTGAGTATTAATTTATACACTAAAATTTCATAATCGCCAGAGTTACTTCTACAATGGTTTATATGGAATTTCTACTTTAAGAATCAATTTATACACTAAAATTTCACAATTGCCAGGTACGTCTACAACGTTGGTCTATATAGAATTTGTATTTTGAGAATCAATTTATACACTGAAATTTCGTAATCACTTGTTAACAACCATATGTACTCTAAAATCTTAAGTTCTTAGAAAGGGCATAACTTAAATATTTAAATGCATAAACATCGTCAGAGTTACGACTACAACATTGTTCTATATGGAATTTCTACTTTGAGAATCAATTTATACACTAAAATTTCGTAATAGTCCGAGTTACCTCTACAACATTGGTCTAAATGGAATTTGTAAATAAATTGAAAAAGCATTTTACATTTTTAAATACTAATTTGGGGATTTGGGGGAAATTCAAGAGTGGAGAGTGAGAGATACAGAGATACATACATTTTTGCACATCAAAGAATTGCATGGCAATGGTGAGAGCACCGGCATATTTGTCCACCACGACGCCTGGAGTCCCCGGAACACGAGCAGCCTTTGAGCCTGACCCATCAAATCTCCTCCAAAGAGTGAATATAGCCATGGCCACAACAAGACCTGCATACACTAACACAAATAGCCACCAACACCATCCTTTGGACTTCTCTTTAGCTTCCATTAATTCCACCTTACCACAAAATTACATACATCAAACAATGTTTCACTCACATAAACAAATATTAAAATGAAAATTTCAATGTTTCACTTATATATAGATTTAAGTGAAACATACATATACACACAAACAAACAAACACTATGTAAATATAATTATTGTATCACAAAAATACAAAGGAGAGTATCACTGGGGTTTAGAAACACCCAAGATTCGTTTCTTGACATTTGATTTTGGGTTTAGAAATTGATAATATTACATGGCCTCTGTAGTTTGATGGGTGTGGGCTTATTTATAGATATAATATAAGGTTGAGGTGTTGCCAGTAAGTGAAACCATTTTTTTAACAGAGACAACTTCAAGAAAGAAGAGATTAGAGATAAAACGGCGAGACTGTCTTGTCGTTTGTTTTGAATCCAAAATGGAGGAAGATTGTGATCAATCGTCTGTTTCTGTTTGTACACTTCATTTATTTATTTATTTATTGGGTTACTTTCACTGATACTATTGAAAAATCTTGGATAATTACTATTATTTTTAGGGAAAATTACATATAAATGGAGTTAAAGTTTCATATTTATTTAGAGACTGAGTCAAAGTTTCATATTTCTCTAAAATGGATTGCTGAGGTGGCACATGGTTTTTTACTGTTTAGAAAATTGTGGTGCCTAAAATGCCCTTCCCTAACAAAAAAGTAGTACCTTCAGTTCAAAAAAGTAGTACATTCAGTTCAAAAAAGTAGTACCTTCGAAGAAAAAGTAATACCTTCGCAGGTGTTTAAAAAACATGGTACCTGAACACCAAAAAGTAGTACCTTCAGTTCAAAAAAGTAGTACCTTCGAAGAAAAAGTAGTACCTTCGCGGAAGGGTATTTTAGGCACCACAATTTCTAAACAGTAAAAAACCATGTGCCACCTTAGCAATCCATTTTAGAGAAATATGGAACTTTGACTCAGCCTCTAAGTAAATATGAAACTTTGACTCCATTTATATGTAATTTTCCCTTATTTTTATTTATTTTTATTTTTATTTTCCATCATTCACACAGTTAAAAATGTGTGAAGAAGACAAATTTATCCCACAATTTTTTAATACTTTATATTCCAAAATATCAACAATTTAAAATGACTAATTTGCCCACCGAATCTCCTTGGAGAAGACATTAGGTTCAAGTAGCAATGGCAACACTCACAAGAAGATGTGATTGATATTTTGAAATTACTAATATCCTTGAGTGGCAAGTTACATGAAACTACATGTACAAGAATAACAATGAAGATAGATTGATATGCCGGCCGAGCAACTGGATCGGTAGGGCTTATCTGGGCAACTGGATTGCTTGGGCATAAGCCCTACCGGCGTCGAATCGATGTTGAAGATCATGGGTTGATTTGATCCATGGTTACATAGACACCGTGAGAGTTTGAAAAGTTTGTTGGCACAAAACTCCATGCTGTTTTAGTATCGGAAAATGAACAAAATGTCCTTTGACTTCTCAACAACCACTAGTAAAATGATCCAGACTAATGCCAAAATCATACCACAACCGCTGTCACAGCACCAACCACACACGTACCACCACAACCAAGACGAACCCATCACAACCACCACACCCACCCACACACCACCAAGCCGAACCCACCACAACCACCGCCACACCCACACACACCACCAAGACAAATCCATTCTCGCTCTATAGCAACAGCGCCACCACCGACACCAAGACGAACCCATTCTCGCTCAAGGTTGGACTCGCCCAAATGACAACACAACCGTCGCTCGACGCCATCGATTCCGACAACTGGGTTGAGTGAATCAGTCGCGACGGTGGCTCATCTAAGGGCAACGGCTTCTATTCGACGACGGCGGCGATCGAGACGTCCTCGACGCGTTGACGCTTTAGATCGGGTATCGAATCGGCGATTCCTTGAGACGGCTCGCCGTTGGGGACGTCGGCTAGCGAATGACTCACCATCGCCCCCACCACCCGACCGCACATCTTCACAGTAGGCATAAAGGCATCGTCATCGCCCCTGTTCTTCCTCCAAAAAGATGAGATGAGAATTGGTGTCGGTGAGGTGGTGGTGTTAAAGGGCTGAGAGAGATGAGATGAGAGTTTGGTGTCGGTGAGGTGGTGGTGGTATGGCAGAGGCTGCGTTTATTGGACTGCATAATGGTGGGGTATTATCGTCAATTAACATTATTTTGTATTGGTCGGCATAATGGTGGGGTTATTATCGTTAATTAACATTATTGATTTTTTGTAAATACTATAATTGAATTATATAATAGGGAACAATTATAGCATTTGAAACCTCTAGTACAATTTATTCTAAAAAAATAAATTCTTTAGTAAGAAATTAACGTAACTATTTATTTTAACTCTAATTAAAATAAAATTAAAAAAACAAATAAAAATACATTTCAAGTTATCGAAAATGAGATGTTATTAAATTAGTGTGTTAGATGAATTTTGAAATGTCACTTTTTATATTTATTAATTTAATTTTTAATAAATAAATAAATAAAATGACACAAACCTAATAAAACTATTCGTATAAGTAATCTAAAATTTCTACTCTGTGGAAATAATCAAGCTGAAATTCCAAAATTATTCTTTGACATCTCTTGACCCCCGATTTTTACTGCATTATTCACTACTTGTACCTTTAGTTCAAATTAATTAATTACTGTAAATTTTTTTTTTTTTTTTTTTTGGGACTCGAATTGGAGCTTAATAGCAGGTCCGTACCCCCTTCGAAGAAAACCCTAAATCATTCTTTACAGAAAAAAAGGACTAAAGTCTGAAATTTGAGAAACAGTAGAGACTCCTCTTTCATCGTTACAGAGTTTCAGATACACAGTGTGTGTAAAACAAACACACATATATATTATATTCAGAAAGATAGCGACTTTTACAGCGAGAAGATAGAGAGATGGTAGGAGGTGAGGGGAGAGAAGGGGATTGGGAGTGCAGTGGATGTGGGAACAGAAACTACGCCTTCAGATCATTCTGCAACAGGTGTAAGCAGCCTCGCCTTCTCGTCGACATCAAAACCCCTGCTGATTCTAAATGGCTCCCTCGTATTGGCGATTGGATCTGCACCGGTAAACAAACAATCCTTTCTCTGTGTGTGTGCGTGTGTATATATATATATGTGCCAATGCAATTAGCTAGTTTTGAGAGTTATAATTGCAGTACTTGGTTGGATCGATGATAGGGATGTAATGATTAGGGTTTGATTTTTTTTTTTTGGACCTGTTACGCTTGCTAATTTGAGTGTTGGTGTGGAAATTTCTACCTTAATATTTTCGTGTTGAGATATTTAGGGTTTAAAAGGTTGAAACTTGTTACACTTGTTTTGGTACAAATCCTTCATTGCAGGAAGAGTACGCCTCTTGCCAAAGCATTTTCTGGTTGTTTTACTTTTTTTGGGAGTGGGTTTGAATTGCTTCTCTTAGTTCTTACTAGCCTTTTCAGCTGTTTATATGCCCACAGCATATCTGTGCATAATAACTGGATTCTGATTGCTCTCTTAAGGGTTTTGGGTGGTTGGGAAAAGGAAATGATGAGTCGATGACCAATTATTTACTGTAATTTATTCGTGTACTAAGTTCAAAATTCTAGAAGTTCCCTGAAAACAACAAGTGTGGAACCTAAGTAACACTCATGAAGACCTAATGCTTCTACTAACTTGATATTCTGTTGAGAAAAGGCGGAATTTTATTTGTTACTTGTAACAATGTAAGTGAATAAAGATCATAATCTCATGTTGGGCAATTAAAAAGAACCTAAGAAGCACACACCATCCTAGTCGATTATCTCTAATGCGATTTCTACCAACTTATGAGTTTATTCACTTATAACTCAATTCTTTCTTATCTTACGGGGCATTCATCTCAAACTCCGTATGTCAGTCACACGATTCACACTACTTTATAATATGTTTTTTAAACTGTCCAACAATCGATTCCATAAAGTATGGCTACTAGTTAGTTTAATAATTTTTATATCAAATTTACCTATCAGTTCTAAAGGTATTTGTCATCTCACAACATGCTAGAAAGCCCTATACCACTTAAGCCAATCATGCTTTAGTTTTATGAGTAACTCCATTTTAAACCCAACCCCACCCCCCCCCCCCCCCCCCCCCCCCCCCCCCAACAAAAAAAAAAAAAAAAAATGAATAGTGGATTTAGATAATGAAACTTTTCACTTTTTGATCTATCGATGCTCAACCTTCATTGCCTTCCCATTTATATTCCTAGTTCTGCAAAAGTTACAACCAATTGTTCAATTTCATTCCTATATAATTTAAACCATTTCGACTCTAGGGCTTTTCTCAAAAGCTCTGATTTAGTATTTATCATTGCTTTAATTCCATCAATTAAAATAATATCATTAACAATATAGTATACGGCAAATGCTATGGAATCTAGTTAGCTTCTCAAATTTTTAAAATTTTGAATACAATATTAGTGTGTTTACTATGTTGAAATTCAATTGTTGACGCTCTTTTTCTATTAATGTAGCTTGCTTCTTTATCACCATGTCCTTGTCAAGTTGAGATTAGGAACTTGTCGTCAATTAGGTTGAGTGTGTGTGTGTGTGCATGTGCATGTCTAATTTGGTCTGAAATGGGTTAATTGGTGTGCGTATGCTTGGCTTCCTTTTCCTCTCAATGGCTGCATTGTGGATTTTGTGTGTGTGGGGCAATGCATCAATAGGTTGCACTAACAACAATTATGCGTCACGAGAAAAGTGCAAAAAGTGTGGGCAGCCAAAGGAGTTAGCAGCAATGCCAGCAATTGCAATACCTGGAGCTTCTCTTCCAACTCATCCACATTATTTTGCCAGGGCAAATGGAGGACCAGAACAAAATATGAATATCAGATTGTTAGGCAATGGAATTCTCCAGCAGTCACTTCCTTTGAACCCTAACTGGTCCTTAGGAGGAGCTGATAAATACGGACTTCAACCAGCTTCTACTTGGCCTGTCAGTGAGAATCAAAGTTTTGGATTCGCATATTCAAACCAAGCAAATCAGAATCTTATGGTTCCGAAAGGATGGCGCAATGGTGACTGGATTTGCAACTGTGGCTTCCACAACTATTCTTCTCGTGCACAGGTATGCCCTTGCCATGTGAACAATCTTTCCCGACTGATAGCAAGTTGTTTGATTCCAAAAAAAATAAAATAAAATAATTTCTTTTGAAGGATAATGTATATGATTTGGCTTCTGCTTTATTTGCAGTGCAAAAAATGCAATGCTTCTATGCCTCCAGGTACATCCTCTTCTTCCATAAGCGTGACGATCACATATTTTGTGTACTAGTATTATGTTTATTGCTTGAAAATAAAAACTCACAAGGGTTTTGTCTTCAACTTTTAGTGTACAGGCTCATCCAGAGGTTATAACTTTCATTATAGGTTTTTTTTTTTTTTTTTTTTTTTTTTTTTTTTTTGTTTTTTTTGTGATAAAAGATTGATGTTTTAACTTTCATCATAGTTGCTAGAGAATCTTTTTAGTTTTGTGACGAAATATCCTTTCTTTCAGAGTTTGATTTGATTTCAGTTTATTTTAAATAACAGAGTTGTGCTCACTCTTTATGGTTTGAAATAGGGCAGAACAAGAGTTTTTGGAACATTTTTTAAGGGTATCTTGACGAAAAAAAAGATCAGCCATTATGTAACGTCTAATACTGTTTTACAATGGCTAATACGGTTTTATAATGGCTTTCACTGCCATTGAGACCAAAAACAAGGCTTAACTCCCAAAATTGCTTTATTTTTCCTCCAATACAGAAGTTTATTTTTTTTTTTTTCGAGAGCATGGTTGCCTGGTTATTTTAGGTCTCAAACTTGTTCAGGTAAAACTGTTTGGTTCCAAATTGTATTCATTCAAACATAATAGTGGTAAAAACCATACAAGACTATTTTACTGTCTAGTTTTTCCTTTTGGAGTGCTAGACACGAATTTTTTATATCTGATACTCATGTCTACAAGATGCTGTTTGGTTGCTAAGGCCTAAGGCAAAGCATGAGAAGGACCAAACCTAGAATTTTCACACCCAGCTTCTTCAATATGTAAGAACTGATTAAACAAACATGTTCATTTACTTCAGAGCATTGATGGAAGGATAAGTAGTTGCACTGATCTTCCAACTTGAAAACTCAAGCCTGCCCATCCTGATTTCCAATTTCATTTCCTCTTACTTTCCGTCAGACCTTTATTAAGCCTAAATAGCAGTCAAGTTAGGTCTTTTTCATGGTGGCATCTTTGCATCGATGTGAGATGCCTCTTTCAAGGCCGATGCATGTTTGCAGCTGCTTTGCTGGTGACAATTCTGTTAGAGTGATCCTTTTTCTAATTTTTGTAGCATTAAGAAACATGAATTTTAGTGAGGGGTAAAAATAAGGTTTGTTAAAAGAAGTGCATTGCCCGTTGTATGTTCCACCTATGCAGGGTATTGGATTTGAAGACTAAATACCAACCTAATTATTTTGTCTCTATTTAAAACAAAGTGACTTTTTTTTTTTTACTTGAATTTTGAACATGATGTTTCACTGTCCTACCTTTTACTGTATAGTAAAATGACGGTTTACATTTTGTAAGTACCCTATTTATTCCTGCTCATATGATGTGTTTTTCATAGGATTACAACGATGACTTTACTACGTCACAAAATAGTTATTTACACTGTACTACCAACCATGCTCCATGCTGGTTCCTGTCTACTCCTGCATGTATAACATTTTAGGATGCCAAGAGTGGGAGTGAGGGAGAGCATCTACAATGAGTCATCCCAGCTTTTACCTGTCTACTTTTTTTTTTTTTTTTTGAATTAATTGACTATAACTAGAATGAGTACCAAAACCAGGACCGTAACTGATCTGTTACTTGTCTTTTCCTTTCTGGGTATTCTAGCACTTGGTACAAAGAGATTAGCATCTGAAGAACTTGTCCATGATTGGGATAACAAGAGGCTGAATGCTGGACATGTAAGAACCATTTCCTGATATGGCCTTCTAAGCTTACCTTTTCGTTGTTGCAACAGTTGTTTGATGTTTGATAGACTTCTCTTCCTCTTTTATTTTTATTTTTAGTATTATTATTATTATTTTTCCTGAATATGCAGACACATGGACTGCAACAATCATACCCTGGATTTGAGCAAACGGCAGGTTCTGGTGGTGCCAATCAAACAAACGGAGTGTATACCCCTTTTCCTAGTGGAACCTCATCAGCAGCTCCAAATATTCAATTCAACCTGCAGTTGCCACATCAAGTGACAATGCCTACTCTATTTGGGAAAGGGTAAATTGGATTGTGTTGTCCTTTATTTATTTATTTTCTTCCATTCTTTATATGAACTCTAACTGCAACTCAGTTGACCCAACTTGACATTGGAATGGACTTGGAATTTCTTTTGTTGCTTGGGTTGAAAATGTTCTACCCAACCTAACTGCTAGTTGGGCTTTTGGACAAAAGTGTCAGGCAACCCCCACCCCAACCTATTTTAGTACTATTGTTAAGCTATTAATTGATACATGATGATTATTTGGTTGTTTAAATATTTAGATTGTTAGGAAGTTTGTGAAATGTTTTTAGTTTGGAAGTCCAGGGCATGATTTTCTTTTCTTATTTTTAAAATTGTTAATTTTTTTTTTTTTTTTGATAAGTAAAATGTATTAGAAAGTGTTCAAGAGGGGAACGCATCCCAAGAGCTGTACAAGAACTAAGAATAAAAAAAGAAAGCCTAAGGATCCAAAGATCCCAAGAAGTCCAAAAGCTCCTCAACAGAGGAACAATCTCTCCCCATACCCCAACTAAAAAGAGAACAAATAATAGAATACTTAAGAGCCCCAATGGATAACTCCTCCCCAACAAAGGATCTTCTATTGCGTTCTTTCAAGGGACACCACCAAATGCAAAGGGGAGTCGCCCTTCAGAAATCGCGAACTCGAGCCCCCACCCTTTGTCCCCTCTATATATCAATAAGACCCTGTGAAGTCCGAGGCATGACCCACTGAACGCCAAAAAGACCCAACATAAGACTCCAACAGTCATGGGCCACTGGGTAGTACAAGAGAAGGTGATCCACAGACTCTCCATGAGCTAAAAAAAAAACAAAAGGTTGGGTTAGGTCGGTCTCAGGATTAGATTGAGGTTTCTATACAATGGGTTGAACTTTCAACTTGTCCCTAACAGGAAATATATTTATTTCATACAAATTATATGGGTTAGATTTGAAGAATGTTTAATAATTTGATGATGTCCAGCTGGTTTAATTTTCTTTTCGTATTTGTGTTAAGTGTCCAACTTTTGCAGCATATTAAAGCAAAATAATCTGCATGTGTGTTTATGATAAATATTGCTTTTGTGAAGTCCTCATTTTCATTGTGAATATTATAGGTGTACAAAGAGTTGGCGATTTCCAAATTATGTTTGATAGCTTAACACAACTAAATTTAGATCTCTCCTCTATTTTAGTACTAGTTTGATAACATGCACAATTAACTGAAATTATTAGAGCAGAATGACGGAACAAGATTCATGTAGGCAACGTAAATGTTGGGAAAAAGCTTTGTTGAGTTGCGTTGAACTGAGTACATGCACACACACACACACATAACACATGTATGAATGATAATGAGTCTCTATATGAAACACCCACCATTTATGTTATGATCAATGCTGTCATGATAAGAACTGTAATGCTCTCTCTTGTGATGACTTAGTAGAGCAAAGCAATGGCGTGATGGGGATTGGATGTGTACGAATTGCAACAATCACAATTATGCATCTCGATCAGAATGTAATAGGTCAGTATTTTAAAAAACAAACTTAATCCCTAATGATGTGTTACTTGCTGCAACATTTTGTGAGTTTGCAAATCATATTTATTTGGGCACTTGTATTTATGCAATCCCTAATTATCTGTTACTTCTTGCAACATTTTGCGAGTTTGCAAATCATCTTTAATTGGGCACTTGTATTTCTGCCCAATGAGAACTACATGATCAGCAAATAATCTGAATAAGTCCACTTTTCCTGATAGCATTTTTATGGCATTTATATGCTATTAGAATTTTAAAAAATTCCAATGGTCAGGCATCGTTTGTTCTTTAGTAATGTCACTGGGTTGTACTCTACCTAGTAGTGTGGTCAAATAGAAAGGGGTCATCCTGGTGCTGGTCCGCAAAAGTGGGATGTGGAAGGGTTGGAGAAGCTTGTGGTCTTTGGGTTGCAAAATTGCTTTTTTGATGCTCAAGCACGTGTCCTCATGCTTTTGAGCCAAAGCTTTTATCATTGCGTCATATAATGATACGTAGCAAATATATAACCCGATTTATGCAGTCATGATCTCTCAAGCGAAGAGTTGGAAAACAGATTAGGTAACTTAACAACTGAGTGCTGATGTTCGAATAATTGTCTTTCATAGGTGCAAGACTCAGAGAGATGGACTCGTTCAACCAGTCAGTGTTGCATAGCCATAAACTCATGAAGGCTTTTATATCATTGTAACGTCAGGTGGTGCTTGTTTAGATTTCACTTTGCTCTTTCCATTATGTATCATGCTGCTGGCAGATTGAAGATTGTTACAGATTTCATTTGCTCCCTAGTAATTATATAAGACGGTGGCCATGATCCTCGAGTCCCAAGAGTGTAATTGCCTGCTTGGGTTTAATTTTGTTCTAATATGAGCTGCCTTTTTATCTGGAGTCTATGCAGGTTTTTTCCCCCTTTAGTGATCAATAAAATTGTGCTTGTTTTATTTCTATCAGTATTAATGTTGTTATTATTACATTTGGTGGAAAGCTGATGAAGCAAAGATGAATTCAGGATATCTATGGATGAGTGGAGAGATTAGTTTCAGTCTTCTTGTTCTTATCTACAACTAATGTGACATGCAAAAAATGTCCTTATTCATAGATTTCTAATGTCTCTTGAATTGCAGGGTGTTAAGAGAGGAATAATTAGAGGGCTGATCACAAGCTGTCATGCAACCAAATTCAGTTTTTTTCTTTTTGGTTGTATGACAGCTTGTGAATTGTCATGCAAACAAATTCAGTGTTTTTTTTTGGTTGTATGACAGCTTGTGAATTGTCGGACTGGACCAGCTAATAATTTCCTACGTCACACAAGCTCCGTATTAACTACACAACTCTAGTGTGGAGCATTTATGTGAAGTTGACAATTTTACTCAATTTTAAGTGTAGTAGTGTTTTTTTTTTTTCTTTTTCGAAGTGATATTCAAATTGTATTATGAAATATATATATATATATATATATATTACGTGTGTATTTATGTTTGGAATCGAGATCTAACAATTAGGTTGTTGAGAAAATAATAAACCGTATAGAACTTTACTCATTGTGCTGATCACATTGTGCTAGCTCTGATCAGCCAGCAAGTGACGCCAAGAAAGAGACCTATGGTGTGCGTATAAATTGGCCAACAAAGGAGATAAATCGTAGCTTTGTTCGATAAGACGCAACTTGGAGCAAATTTCTATTGTTTAGCAGAGAAAAGAGGAAGCCATTCTGATGTCGGAAAGGAGATTTTTCCCTTCTCGAACCCATGAACTTCTGGCAATAATGGAACAGCCAAGATTTTTTAAATGTAGTTCCATCGTTATTTATTTTATATAAATGAGCTGGGATAAATAAATTCACTCAACTATTTCATTTTTTTCCGATCAATTAAACAAAAGAAAGAATTGACATCATCTCCCTTTGGAAAAAATTTATTTCATCCTTCCTCTTCCTATATGTATATTTATTTATTTATTTTAAAATTTTCCATCCCTTTTTCCCTGCCAAGAGAGTGGTCGTCAATTTGAGACGATGGGAAATGGCCCCATGGCCTTTGGGGCATTAACCCATAACATCGATTTTGCCCTCAAGTAGATATATGAGGTTAATTACACAAAGCTATAATTATGTATATATATATATGTATGTATGTATCTATCTATCTATGGACGTTATTTCTGGAACAAAATTGTCCAAAGCTTGCAAATAAGGCCCTATTAGTTGCCTTTAATATTAATTGCATAAAAGTTTCTTAAATTATAGAAATTTGTATGTACCCCTTAAATAAGGGGGCAATATACAAATACTTATATTTAGAGGGTGTTTTATCCAATTAATTTTAAATAAAAATTGTGACTATCAATACCCTTGATTATGGATTCCAATACTGGAATCTTCACTCTTCACCCAAATGGACTGATCCAAGTAATTGGACTGTACATTTAGGGCAATCTTTTTTGTTTTTTTTCTATTCCGGAAGGTCATTTAGGGCAATCTCCTTTAAGTGCAAACTTCACCCCCAATTGGATTGGTCCAAAAACTTTGACTAAGTCCATTTTCTACATAACACGACATTCACACCCATAGTAATTGCTTTCCAAATTTCTGTTTGATGGTTTTATAACTAAGAATAAAATTAATGAATAAAATTAAGTAATAGAGCAACTAATTTTATTTTATTTAAACCTATCACTTTAAACTAATTTTATTTAACTTTAGTCACTAATATTTAATTCTTACTATGAAAAATAATTAGCAAATTAATAAGGCTTGAACGGACTCTCACACAAATGATGCTCTCCACCACTCCCACACGTGAGAGAGTTCAAAATTTCAATCTTTTAATGTTGTGTTTGGTAGGAAGGAAGGAAGATGTGTAGAGATAAAATATGAAGGAATGAACAAATTTTTATCATTAGGTAGAAATGATACAAAGAAATAAGGAAAAATAGGAAGGATGCTCCTTTACAAATTTTCATTTACCAAAAAAGGAGGAGAAGAAAGGAAGGAAGACAAGTGGACTATTATAAAAATTATAAATTAAATACAATCCTAAATTAAATAGTTTTTAAATAAATTGAAACGGGAATTGACACGGTATTAAATACAATTAATACTAAGTGTATTACTGTTAAAACTTCTCCTCCAGAAGCTTCCTTATCCAAAACATTGGTGAAACCTGCAATTGAAGTTCAAGGCTTCAATCTGACACATCCTAAGAAGAATGAAGAATTTCTTACTCTTCTTACTCAGAAAATTCAAGGCCTCAAAATTCAGACTTTATCCCATGATGAATCTGAAATTGGTTCTGATTCTGAGAATGTGTTACCTCATATTGAGGTATTTCAAAATGATTTCACTCAGATGCCTGAGTTAAACCGAATTGTCTATGATAAGAATATCCACTCTAATACAGCCCCTGCTCCGAATAGATATTATTATCCCAGACCCACACCTCAAGATATCTTGTATGAAGAAGATTATAATGGTAAAAACAATAAAAACTTTCTCTTTCATTCCCTTTTAACGAAGTAAATTATGAATTTATTCTTTATTTTTTCTTCTATTCAACCAAATAAAAAGAATAAAAAGAAGAAAATACGCAATCTCAAATGTCTCATTCGTCGCTTATTTTTTCCCTTCTATCCAAATTTTTTTCTTTCCTAGTTTCCTTATTAAAATAATAAAATAAATACAGTAAAAAAAAAATTCCTAGTTTCAGTATCCCTTTGGCGTCCAGGTTGGGCTGGGAGACCTCATTTAAATTCCTTTCTATCAGTATTAATGTTGTTAATATTACATTTGGTGGAAAGCTGATGAAGCAAAGATGAATTCAGGATTTATGTGGATGAGTGGAGAGATTAGTTTCAGTCTTCTTGTTCTTATCTACCACTAATGTGACATGCAAAAAATGCCCTTATTCATAGATTTCTAATGTCTCTTGAATTGCAGGGTGTTAGAGAGGAATTATTAAATGGTACGGATTGCATGCTGATCACAAGCTGTCATGCAATCATATTTTTTTTTAGTTGTATGACAGCTTGTGAATTGCCGGAACCACATGGCCCCAGAACATTTAATAATTTCTACGTCATACAAGTTCTGTGTTAACTACACAATCCCTTGAATATGAAGGAGGGAGAAGGGTTCTCATGTTGGTGATGATCCGCGTGATGGACCAACCAGACTCTTTGCCTTCATGCCATAATACTGTTTGATAAAATTTAAAATTAAGTACAGAATTTCTAGTGTGTAACATTTAAGTGAAGTTGACAATTTTACTCAATTTAAGTGTAGCTTATTATTATTATTTTTAAAAGTGATATTTAAATTGTATTATCAAATCTAATTATATATATATATATATATATATATATATATATATATATATATTACGTGCGTATTTATGTTTGGAATCCAGATCTAACAATTAGGTTGTTGAGAAAATAATAAACCGTATAGAACTTTACTCATTGTGCTAACTCTGATCAGCCAGCAAGTGACGCCATGAAAGAGACCTATGTTGTGCAGATAAATTGGCCAACAAAGGAGATAAATCCTAGCTTTGTTCCATGCCTTTCTTCTGTTAACCTTTGAACTCTGATAAGACGCAACTTGGAGTAAATTTCTATTGTTTAGCAGAGAAGAGAGAAAGGATGGATAATCTCCAACATTCTTGCCATTCCGAGGTTGGAAAGGAGATATTTTCCCCTTTCGAACCTGTGAGCTTATGGTAATAATGAAATAGCCAACATCCCCAATACGTAAGTGAACGTAAGGTCTGCAAGAGTGATTATTTATGATTTTGAGCATTGCATCAGAAATTCGGCATATAGCCAACGATATGCATTTAAGCATACAAAAAATAACTTTGCAGCAATAACAAGATGAAAATATATTATGATATTTGGCGTAGAGGCTCTCCTTGATGATATGGTCACGAAAAGACTCCTTTGAAGATGTCACTATTCAGTTGATATGAAGAAGAATTGCCCGAAATGATGCAACGTGCAAAATGACGGCAAAAAAATCAACAATTTTTGTATCACACTTTGATAATGCTCTGAACACATGAATATAACTGGTCCAGCCATTAAGACTTACATCGACTACACACAAAATTCAAAGGACTACATCACTTTTTATTATAAACTCTCTTAATCGTTTTTACAAATACTCACCTTTATTTATAGGTGAGTTAGAAAGCAATTGTAAAAGTATTCTTTCTTTGCAATAATATGATTATATAGAAAAAATTTCAAATAAAATCAAAACACAAATATGGTAACAATCAAAACTCGTTACTCAAGTACAGTAACTTTTAACATATCTACACATCCAAAGGCATGCCAAACCATCCGTATCATCCAAAGACACAATGCATTGTTGATATATGACACAAAAGCACCTGTCTTGTCCCATTTCTGAGGCATTGCTTGAATGTGACCATGTTTGGATTTGGCGTAGTAAGGACCTCATGGGCCTGATCACATATACTGTTATCCAAAGCCCACTCCAAAACAGTCAAAGAAGAGTGGTTCATTTGGCAACTCAACAACAATTGGGCTTTTCTTTGGGGAGACCCAAATGTAGGGATGCTACACCGGCCATATGTACTTTCAAGCAGCAAGCTTGGGCTAAAAACGTGGCCCAACAAATCCCTAAATTTATGTAAAATCCAAAATCAGCCATTAACTCGATATTTTATGTATAATCCAAAATCAGTAAGCCTGACTTACTTAGACCAAATTTAGCCCAAAAAATTTGAAATTTGAGCTTTTAAACTCACAAATCGGGCTCAAATTGGGTTGAATTTTCTCAAAACTAGGGTGCAACTTAGGTTGGGTAACCCGAACCTAACCTGAGCCTAGCCCGATTTTTCATGGATTTGGGCAATCATTTTTACAATTAGGTTTGGGCTTGGTTTGAAAAATCTAAATTCGAATTTAATTAGGGTTGGGTTCGGGT